TCAATTTCACAAAATTGACACTTATGACTGGTTTTGTGCTCCAAGGATCACATATATATATATTTATGTGACTTGAAGCAAAACAGATTATGATATCAAACCAGCACGTTTATTGTCATCATTCTTGACCTGCACCAGATGTGATACGAGCGTCACGAACCGGTCGGGTCAGACGGCTGGAGACGTGGCTCTGTTCTGGGGTCACAGACACATCGCCCGTCTGCTGCCCAGCAGAGACACAGAAGAGCCAGACATTCACTTCAACAGAGAGCTCCTGGACCGATCGAGCGACAGACGCAGCGACGGCGAGTGGCTGGCGGCCAGAAGAGCTTCTCCAGAGACCGTGTTCCTGCTCTTCCACGCTCTCAGTCCTCTGGTGCGCTCCGGAGCGGAGCATGAGGAGCAGATACAGCTGTGCAAACTCGGATCCGCCGCGGTGCAGGAGCTGCTGGGGAGCAGCCGGACCCTGGAGGTTTTCTTAGGAGTGGAGAAGCAGCAGGAGGACGACGGGATGCTGGCGTGGTTTGCTCTCAGCACTGAAGACGATCCCACTCAACTCCTCAAAGATAAAGATCCCAGCCGTTTCTTCCTTCAGGAAGCCATGCCAGGACTCCTGAGGCTGAGCGACGATGATGCCGGTGGGGTTTTTCTCTTAAACACATAACTCTCACTCCACCATATAGAGCAGCAGTGGTTATTTTACATTTACATTCAGTCATTTAGCAAATGAGGAAGCAATCAAAACTAACAAAAGAGCAATGATATGCAAGTGCTATAACAAGTCTCAGTTAGCTTAACAGTACACAAAACAAGGTCTTTTAAATTATATGTGAGCCTGGACAGCAAAACCAGTCATAAGAGTACATTTTTGGAAATTGAGATGTATGCATCATCTGAAAGCTGGATAAATCAGCTTTCCATTGATGTATGGTTTGTTAGGATAGGCCAATATTTGAAAATCTGGAATCTGAGGGTGCAAAAAAATCTAAATATTGAGAAAATCATCTTTAAAGTTGTTCTTAGCAATGCACATTACTAATCAAACATTAAGTTTTGATATATTTACGGTAGGAGATTTACTAAATATCTTCATGGAACATGATCTTTACTTAATATCCTAATGATTTTTGGCATAAAAGAGAAATGTATAATTGTGACCCATACAATGTATTGTTGGCTATTGCTACAAATATAAATGTATAATTGTGACCCATACAATGTACTGTTGGCTATTGCTACAAATATACCCCAGCGACTTAACACTGCTTTTGTGCTGCAGGGTGCATATATGATGAATAAAAAGAAAACAGATAGAATAGAAAGAGAATAGAAGCAAGCTAGTGTTAGAGGCTTTTTTTTATTTGCTTTTGTTAATTGTATAATAAATAAAAAGAAAACAAATAGATAGAATACAAAAAGAATAGAGAAGCTAGTGTTTTTTTTTTTTAAAGAAAACAAGCAGTTAGTAAATGAATAGAGTGCAAGTCTAAAAGGGGCACGTTTTTTTAAAATAAATAATAGAATTAAGAATAGAGAGTGCTAGAGTTAGAGTGTCAAATAAAGATGGAAGAGATGTGTTTTTAGCCGATTCTTGAAGATGGTTAAGGTCATTTTAGTATCATTGATATACTATTGATTTTTAAAAAATTAAATTTTATTGTTATATTTTAGTTACTGTAAGCTTTAGTGTATTCTATTTAGTTTATTATAGGTTTTAGTCATTTTGATGTTAGTTTTTTGTAATTTTTTCTCCCAAGTTTTTTTTTAGTATTTCAAGTTAAAATAAGCATGATGCCTTAGCAACTAGCTGATGTAAAATAAGTTATGTTTTATTTTATATCAGTTATTTTATCATTTTATCTCAAGTAATGAAAATGTATTTTATGATTTTAGTTTTATTGACTTTCTTAAGTACTTATTTGAGTTATTTTAGTAGCCTAACATTGACATACTATTGTAGTTTTTTTAATTAAACAATTTTTTACTTTCATCTTAATTTTAGTTTGTTATAAGTTTTACTTAATTATATTTTGTTTATTAATTTTTTTTTGTATTTTTTCAGTTTTAGTTATTTAACTAGAAGTTAAGCTGAATGAAAATTAGAAATTTTATTAGTTGAAATAAAATACGTTAACTATTATTTATTTCAATAATTTTAAAAAAATCATTTCAAGTAAGGAAAATGTATTTCATGATTTTAGTTTTATTGGTTTTATTTTTTGCTGAGGTGGTTATGATTTAAAATAAGACAAAACAACACAAGCATTAAAATAAGCTAAAACAAGTAAAGAAGAATCAAGATCACGGTCAAGAAAAACTGATTTTTAAAAGTGTGAATTATAAACCTGGAAAAAGTCATGGAAATTAATTAAATCTTAAAATTCAGTGGGCATGTTTATAATAAATATTCATTTTCTAGGTATTTCAGGCTCTGAAATATTTTATCAGCTTGAAATTTTGAGTAATAAATATATTAATAATTATTAGTAATAAATAATAAATTCTTATTGGTAACCCTGATCCAGTAAATCCCTGACCCACATTCAGCTCTCAAAACCTCTGGAATCCTGCAACTTCGTTATTTTAATTAGAAGCAACTAAAATTATTATTTTAATCTCTGGACAGTCCTAGTTTCTGTAAATTGGAAAAAAACTCAAACTAAAAAAAAAAACCCCACTACAATAAGGTTCCATTAATCGACATTAGTTAACACATTTCTAAAACCCAAGGTTGCTTTACAGAGTTATTAAAGAAAATTCACAGACCAAGAGCTGAAGAGTATTATTCAGAGAGAGAAAAAAAGCTTTTAATGAGGTTTTTGAGGGACTTTGACACAGTATTTATTCATCTTTATTAACATTAGTTCATATTAGTTCAGGTCCATTAAATAATATTTACCGATAAAATATTTGATTTTAAAAATGTATCAGTAAATGTTGAAGTTAACAAACTAAGATTAAATGTTTTAGAAATATTTTTTCATGTTACCGAATGTTAAGAAAAGTAACATTTTTGTAAAGTCTTTCAGTACCACTGAGATACTATTATTGTTTTTGTTAATATTTTTAATTTCTTTCATTTTTATTGTTTTAAATATGTCTATGTATTGTTCATAATTTTTGTTGTTTGTTGTCATTTTAGTCCATCAAGTTAAACTCAATGAAAATAAGAAATGCTGCATTGGAAACTAGCTGAAATCAAATTAATATTTGTATATTTTATTTCATTTAACACTTGTTTTATTTCAAGTAATGGAAATGCTTTGTTTTAATGGTTTCAGTTTTATTGAATTAATTATAACCCTGAACCCAGCTTTGTTATTATAGCAGAGGAACTATTTTAGTTTTAAGCTATAAGTTAAGTTAAGCTATTAGTTTTATTTAAGTTATAAGTTTTAGCACAACTGAACAAATGGAAGAATTGGAAAGAAATGACATTTTTTTACATTTTAAAGTTAAATTCTTCTGTCTGATGCACTTTTGAGAGTTCAAAACGAAGAGCTCCAACCGTATGTCCTTAACTAAGAAAACTTAAATCAGAAAAAAAGTCTAGTGATGTTGCGTTCAACACAGACGCTCCGAAGCTTGTGTAAAAAAATTTATTAAAAAAATTCACATTCAAGCACTGTATCGGAGCTTGATTCGTTTTGTAAAAAACACGTGATCTGACGTCTGAAGCTTCGTTCGCCTGAGAACCACGACTGCTTCAGTGTTTGGTTCAAACGGAGCGCCGTTTCCTTTACATTACACTACATTATAATGCGCTTGCATTGCTTTTTTTTATCGTAATGTATATATTAAGCTCAAATTAACTTTGCCCATGAAATAACAGTCTAATGACTGAGGCAGAGTTAAAATAGACAGATCACAGATTTAATTTATGCTTGATTTATTATGCCACAGCATAAACTGTTTTGAAAAGCTTTTGAGTAATGAACCTTTTTCCAATACAATTGTGTTGAAAGCTTCAGAACGCTTCACTTCGCCATCACTTAGCTGAACTTTAAAAGGGAACCAACCCTCTTTTTACATTCTCACTGGTGTTTTAGGAAGCCAAACTAATTAGAATATAATAATAATAACAACAATGACAGTAATAGCCATATATTGTTAAACGATTGCACTGTAAAATAAATGAAAACCTATTGTATCTGTTAGATTTCTTCTTATTCTTCTTCTTCCACTCTTGAGTCTACGGCAGCCCATAGAACCGCTTGCGGGAAAGTTGTGAAATTTGGCACACTGATAGAGGACAGTCTCAACATTAACCACAGCAAGTTTGGAGTCTCTAACTCAAACTCTCTAGCGCCACCACTTGTCCAAAGTTTCACTCGTGTTTATTTTAATTTTTTAACCGTAAGGGGCTAGAAACAAAATATTTTTTTCCTTTGATTCCTTGGCTATAGACGATTTGATTCTAAAAATTTTCCACCATTAAAAAAACCAAACTAACAAAAAAATCATCCCAAAATAAAGTTATGGAATTCAAGTCGATTTCTCAAAACGTTTTCGAAAAACACGCAAACAAATTTTACATAGCGCATGTGAAAATAGACACAAGGCTGTATCTCCTCAACGCTTTATCGTATTCACACCAAACTTGGTCCATGTCATCACAAGCATGTCCTGAGGTTACATGCTGTGTTTCGGCGCAGCACCACCTAGTGGTCAGGAAGTTTTTTTGCTTATAACTTCTGAATGGTTTGGCCAAAAATAACATAACTGGTCTCTTTAGATTCAGTGCAGCATGCCGAGTCGAACCATACCAAATTTGCCATTTTGAATTTAGTCGTAAAATGCTATATTTTACGAAAGCATTGATGTACCTTTGTGAAACTTGGTATGTGTCTTCGACACCATGCCCTGACAGTACGCAAAAAGTTTGGGGTAGTGCCACCTTGTGGTCAAAAGCTATAACGAACTTTTGAAAAATGCTAATAACTTTTGACTAAATTAGCCTATTGTAACACAACTGGTCTCAATATATTCCTTGGACGATAGTTGGCCAAACTTCCGGTCCGCCATTTTCTTTAATGTTGAAAACCTACTTTTTCGAACTCCTCCTAGACTGTTGGTCCAATTTTCACCAAATTTGACTCGGATCATCTTCAGACCATGCTGGCAAAAAGTTATGGATATCGTGTCGATATACGAAACGGTTTTCGTTTAGCGCATCAACGAATTTGCAGGAAAGATGCCAAACTGCATCTGAGGCTGTATCTCTGCAAAGCTTTGACGTATTGACACCAAACTTTGTGTGTGCCATTGTCTCCTCACACAGAACACACCACACATATTTGATAACAGCGCTATTGGTCAAAAGTGATAAGCTAATAAATCATATTACTAGTGGTTGTAATCATGATTTTTCAGCCATTTTGACTAAAATCATCTGAAAATGATTTTAATTACTCATTTCTGCAGTTGGTCTGATGCTCCTGATGAGGCTAGAATAAGAAGTTTCAATGTGTCCCTGGACCACAAAACAAGTCGCTGGGGGATATTTGTAGCAATAGCCAACAATACATTGTATGGGTCACAATTATACATTTCTCTTTTATGCCAAAAATCATTAGGATATTAAGTAAAGATCATGTTCCATGAAGATATTTAGTAAATGTCCTACTGTAAATATATCAAAACTTAATGTTTGATTAGTAATATGCATTGCTAAGAACTTCATTTGGACAACTTTAAAGATGATTTTCTCAATATTTAGATTTTTTTGCACCCTCAGATTCCAGATTTTCAAATATTGTGCTATCCTAACAAACCATACATCAATGCAAAGCTTATTTATTCAGCTTGAAAAAGGATCAAACATGAACCCTTATGATTGATTTTGTGGTCCAGGGTCACAAATAAATTTTTAAAACTACACTTTTTGCCCGGAAGACCTATCGTTTCATGTCGTCATGTGACCACGATAAGATTGCGATATTGATGATATGGTTAGATCCCTGTCCGCGGTGATTGATGAGGAGCGTGTGATGCTCAGGGGAGACGCTGGAGGCGGCGGTGAGGAGGGAGGTGCAGGAGGAGAGCGGCGTTCAGGTGGGACCCGTGCAGTACCTGTCCTCTCAGGCGTGGCCTATGCCCTCCTGCCTGATGATTGGCTGCCACTGCATCGCCGTGACGACGGACATCAAAGCAGACCAGAACGAGATCGAAGAGGCACGCTGGTTCACCCGGCAACAGGTGAGATATTAACCCTTGTGTGTCCATTAAAAAAAAAAGTATGCTCACAAAATATTAGAAATTTATATTTTTTTCTGCTTTCACTAACATGCCAAAACTACCAAAAATGCATTCATTTTCATGATTTTAACCCTTTAAGTGCCAGTTTGTTTACATCATTTGTCCTTTGTATTTTTTGTTATTTTAGTATATCAAGTTACTCTAAACAAAAATACAAAATGTTGCATTGGCAACTAGTTTAAGTAATATATTTTAGAAATATTTACATGTTTATATTTATATTCATATAATTTATATTATATATAACAACATATTTTTCTTAAATATATACATGCATGTGTATTTATACATACATAAACATACACAGCACACACACATATATTATGTACACCAAAATTTCTTTAAAAATGTAAAGGTAGTACAAATTTGAAGCCTTGTCCACAGAATGAAAGCATATTAACAAAAGAATGCATGATTTAATGCTTAAAGGGCACTTAAAGGGATTAAATATTGCATTTTTAATGGCTTTCGATGGGGACATTTTTGTTCTTAAGGTCCTATTTTTGTACCTAGTATAAAATAGATTTATGAAAGGGCATGAGGGGGAAATATTAAAATTCCAATAAACAAACATTTTGAGTCAAATGTATGCTGTTTGCTTTAACAGCCAAAATTATATAAAAAAAAAAAGCAAAAATGAAAATGTCCCTAAATACACAAGAGTTTAAGGAACAGTTCACCCAAAAATGAAAATGTGTTCACCCTCATCATCATCCCAGATCAGGATGAGTGTGTTTCTTCATCAGATTTGTAGAAATGTATCACTGCATCAGTGTCTCGCTGCAAGTGAATGGGTGCCGTCAGAATGAGAGTCCAAACAGCTGATAAAAACATCACAATAATCCACAGCACTCCAGTCCATCAGTTCACATCTGGAGAAGACAAAAGCTGAAACTAATCCAGCATTCAAATGTTTTTAACTAAAACACCATAGAGTCCATAATCCATAATAACTCTTCCTCCAGTGA